CTCTTGTTCCGTGAATATGGAGATGAGGCGTTTGGGGATGATCTCGTAAAAACCCTCCAAAAACGCGGCGAGCTGTTTCCGGATAGCGCCTGTGGGATTTTTTGGGAGGGGGGTGTGTGTGTGTGTGTTAGAACAGCGATAGGGAACCCCCCCCAAGCCCCCGTACCCCCACCAAACCCGTCAGCGCTCACCAGTCATGCGCATCTGGCAGACGAGGTGGACGTATTCCTTCTTGTTCTCCTCCGTCACCAGGACGTTGGCCCCGTTGGGCTTCAGGTCCCGCACCTCGCACACCCCGAACTCCTGCACCTGGGGACGGGGTGTCACCGGGGTGGGGGACACTCCTGGGGTACGGGGGACACCCCAAGAACACAAGGGACACCCCAAGGGCAGAGGAGATACCCCCAGGGCAGAGGGAACACCCCAAAGAGCGACACCGGGAAGTCTGAAGCACAGGAGAACCCCGAGAACGTGGTTTCAGGGGTTCCCCGCGCCCCTTTTGGGGGGTTCTCGGGGCGGGGGTGTGACACGCACCTCGGTGCTGAAGGTGAGGTCGTAGCCCAGGGTGGAGACGTCGTTCTCCAGCAGGTAGACCAGACCCTGGTAGAAGTGGTAGTCTTCGCTCTCCATGTCCGTGTACCTGCGCCGAGGGTTGGAACGGGGGGGTTCGACACCACAAAAAAGGGGTTCGACACCCCAAAAAGGGGGTTTGACACCCTCTGGGGGCGTTCTACACCCTGAGAGGGTGTTTCATTACCCCATAAGGGGGGGGGGGCCAGAGCCCCATGAGGGGTGTTCATCACCCCACAGGGGTGTTCTACGCCCCAAAAATGGGTTCAGAGGCCTGGAGGAGCGTTCAAAACCCCATGAGGGAGGTTCAACACCCCGTGGGGCTGTTCTACAGCCCACCAGGCTGTTCAACACCCCAAGAAGGCAGGCTAACACGCCATAGGGGTGTTCATCGCCCTGTAAGGGGCTTCGACAGCTTGTGAAGGGACATTCAACACTCTGTGACAGGCGTTCAACAGCCCAACAAGAGCTTCAACGCCCCATGACGTTGTTCAACACCCTGTGACTGGTGTTCAACACCCCAAGAAAGGGGGTTAACACCCCAGTGAGGGTGTTAATCACCCCGCAAAGGGGAATTCAACACCCCATGACAGGCATTCAACACCCCAACAAAGCCCGTGAGGGCGTTCAACACCCCGTGACAGGCGTTCAACACCCCCAACAAGAGGTTCAGCACTCTGTGAGGCGGTTCAACACCCCGTGAGGGTGTTTGTACACTCCCTTTTCTTACCGGACAGACTTGCCCAGGATGTGCTTATAGAAAGAACGGGTGAAATAACACTCGAGGAGACGGTTGTCGTAGACGGCCTTGGCCACGATGCGCCCCACGAACTTGAAGTAGCTGAGGTGGTTGGGGTTGCAGTGGGAGGAGGGGTTGATGGTGTAGG